AGGTTTGTGAGTCCTCTGATGTAGTTTATTCTATTTGCTTTGCGAGACCTTAAGATCTTTCCTTTCTCTTCTTTTCGTCTTCACCTCGACATTAGGCAGGGTTCTCAAGATACAGAATCAATGGGATATGTACATACACATGAGTAGATATAGATACATGAAAGGTGATGTGTTAGGACGATTGGCTTAAGAAATTATGGAAGCTAAGAAGTCCCACAACTAGCCACCAGCAAACTGGAGATGCTGGGATGCAGGTAGCCTTGCTTAGTCCAAGTCTAAATGCCACAGAATTGGGGAGGCCAATGGTGTAACTGTCAGTCCTGGGTCAAAGACCGGAGAATGCATGGAACCACTGGCATAAGTCCCGGAATCCAAAGGCTGAAGAGCCTGGAGTTCTGATGTCCATAGGTATGAGAAGAGTACACCCACTTAAAGCAAGACAGAATTTGCCTTTCCTCAGCCTTTGCATTCTATCTGGGACCCCGGCTGATTAGATGGTGCCCATCACATTCAGGAAGGATCTTCCCCACTTAGTCTACCAACTCACATGCCAATCTTCTCTGGACCCTTACAGACACATCCAGACACAAGGTTTATTACCAGTTCTCTAAATATTCCTTAATCTAGTCAAGTTGAGCCCTAAAATTAACCATCAAAGCCTCCCAGTTGCCAGGTAAAGGCGGCAGTGAGCTGAGATCATACCACTGCACACCAGCCTGGCTGACAAAGTGAGACCCTGTCTCAAATAAAAAATAAATTAAAAAGAATGAAAAAAAAAAAAGCCTCCCAGTTGCCAAAGGGTATGTCTCACAATTTTTTTTTTTTTTTTTACTTTATTCTCTCCCAAAAGCTGTGTTTCAAAAAAGGCCCCTTAAATAACAAGCCTGTCCTTTTACATCTCGCATACTTTGAAGTCTCTTCCCTGTAGCTCATGCTCTGATTTGCCTGAAGACTTTCATGGTACTTTCCGATGGTTTTAGATTGACTTTCGGCCCCTTTCTTTCCTGTCCTCCCCACAGTTCTCCTTGGTTTGCCCTAGTCTTTCTGTGGGATGAGGCTGAAGCTGGTGCCTGAGAGACATACCAAACTTTTAAATTCACGGTTATTTTGAAGTTCTACTAGTCTCTGTTCTCAAGAACTACTGAGCATGGATTTTCAGCAGATATACTTTTCTACTTTTCCTTTCTTGTTTTGTATAAGTTTTGAAGGAAGTATAATATTAGGAGGCTGCTAGGTAGACCATGTCCATTGTCTCGAGCTACCCACAAGTTCTATATTTTGATTTGATTTCAAAATATTCAGAACATACTCCACAAGAGGTATTTGTAAATGGTAGCCTTTTTTTAAAAAACAGCTCATGTTCCAAATTCCTTGTTTTAACAAGTCCTAAGACCTAAGAGAAACCAAAAAGCAGCATTTTTTAAGTTAATTGTCTAATAACGTGTACCAACTGCTTAGCTTTTCTTGACTGATATTAGTCAACTTGGAAGTTGCACAAGAACTTTAGTCAATTTAAACTTTAATTGTTTTGTGGTTGTTTCAATAGTAGCTTACAATTTTGAGATAGATATGTATTTTTTTTTTAAGTCAAACACATTGGTGCTTTGTAGTCTATTGTAAGGATACTGTTCTTTCTTTGCGTGATGGGGTATCACTGAAGTATTTTGATCAGAAGAGTGACCTGCATTTAACAGAATCACTGCAAGTGCCATGCTGGAGTGTAGACTGTAGGGGGGATTGGCCTGAAGCAGGAGACCAGTAAAGCAGCAGTTGTAATGACGCTAATAAATGTAGGGGTCTCATAACAGGTTAGCATGGAGGGAGGGAAGGTGATATGATTCTGAATACATTTTGAAGGTAGAGCTCATAGGATGTCATGAGGGATTGAACATGGGATTTGAGAGGAAAGAATAGTTGAGGATAATTCCAAGATTTTTGGCTTGAATAGACGGAAAGTATGAAAGCAGCTGATTTGGACAGGAGGTTTAAAGGTTTATTTCTGGAAGATTAAGATTGAGATGCATCTAAGAGGAATTTCAAGTAGGCGGGTAAATATATGAGTTTGAGATTCAAGAGAGAAAACCTAGGATGGAGTTACAAATTTTGGAGTCATTAGCATATAGATGTATTTTAAGGCCCTGAGACTGGATGAGATCATTAATGAGTTGAGAGAGAAAGGGGCTGAGAGGCTGAACTCTGGGCACACTGAGGTTAGGAGACGTCGGGGATGAGTAGGGAACAGCGAAAGAGACTAGGAAGTGAAAAGACAGCTGGTGAAGGGTAGAGTCGTAGGAGCCAAATGAAGAAAGTGCTGAAAGGAAAGAGTAACTAACTGTACTTTTTAAGTAAAGGAAATAAGGACTAGGAATTGACCACTGAATTTAGTAACCTGAAAAGCACTAATGACCTTGCCAACTGTAATTTCAGTGGAGCAATTAACTGAAGACATTCGAGTGAGAAGAAGAATTGGAGGCAGCAAGCATAAACAGCACTTTTCATGATTTTCTCACATGCTTTAAGACAGGTAGAGCAATCCATCAGGATGGAAGCTGAAAGGAAAAGTGGGACAGAGGGTATCTTTTGGTTATCTTTTCAATGGGAAATGTTATAGCATGCTTAATATGCTGTGGGAATGATGCCGTAAAGAAGAGCTATTAGTGATGGAGTAGGAAGAGGCTTGCTGGATTAAGGACTTTGAGTAGAGATAAAGTGATAGACTCCAGTTCACAAGTGAAGATGGAAGCGCTGACAGGGCCTACTTGCTAAAGAAGGGAAAGTAGAGTAAGTGGAGAGGCAGATGTGAGTAGGTGAATAAATGCATGAGAGTACCCTGTGGAAATCCCTTGCTGATTGTTTAGGTGAGAGTAGGATGGAGGCAGAAATAAGGGAAATTAGAAAAAAAGGAAGAGCGAGTGAAAACCATCTACTAGCCTGGGTGAGATGGAGGCAGCCGGGAGAATGGTTCTGGGAATTTAGTGTTACTGCCAGAAAACAGGTGAGTGGTTTTACATTTTAGAGTGAGACCAGTCAGCATGATGGTGTGTTTTTCTTGAACCACATTTTTGCTACACCGAAGTAGGTACAGATAAGTGAGGAGTTGAGAGTGTATAATAGGAACGCTTTAAATATTATGAATGACTTGGCCCCACCCACTTTCAGACATTTGTTTAGTTGAGGAAGGGCTGGGCCACTGGATTTTTTTTTTAAAGCACCTAAGATAATTCTAAGTGAAGTCAGAGTTGAGTTGCTGGAGTATTACATAGCTTTTGCCTGAAGCAGTTAGGAGTATGGATGAATTTTTGTGGATTATAAAGCTAAAAAGGTAAGTTTAGTTGTGATTTATTCATTTTTGGATAATCCTGGTCTAGAATTTTTGGACTGGGGGAAGTTCCCAAGATGCTTGAAAAAGATGAGAGTAAAGAAAATGTCTGACACTTGCTCTGTGGCTTACAGATGTGCGTGCACACACACACACACACACACACACACACACACTCACAAAGAAAGAGAAAAAGAAAAGAAAATGTCTAATATTTGTCGTCTCTACCCCCATCATGGGGAAAGTATCCAGAAAGTTTAGATGTAACATTTTAGGCATTTGAAAAATTTTAAACATTGTACTAACTTGGGCTGGGCGTAGTGGCTCACGCCTGTAATCCCAGGACTTTGGGAGGCAGAGGCAGGTGGATCACCTGAGGTCAGGAGTTCAAGATCAGCCTGGCCAACATGGTTAAACCCCATCTCTACTAAAAATACAAAAAAAAAGAAAAAAAATTAGCCAGGCCTAGTGTTGGGGACCAGTAATCTCAGCTACTTGGGAAGCTGAGGCAGGAGAATTGCTTGAACTTTGGAGGTGGAGGTTGCAGTGAGCTGAGATTGTGCCACTGTACTCCAGCCTGGGCAAAAAGAGTAAAACTCCATTAAAAAAAATTATACTAAGTTGGATAGAAACAAATCAGTTTATGAATCTTTAGCAAATACGTTAAATCATATTTTTAGCATAGATTTTTATGCTAAGTTTCAGCCTGAAGCATTTTGTGTGTAAAATTGAAGTCCTGACAGTAGCAAAGTAGAGCATATACTTTCAATTTTTGATATGAAACACATTAATAAGGTTATTGAAACATTTTTAGTCTATAGATGGATTACTATAATCCATCAGAAAAAAGGAATAAAAAGAAACATGACGCTCTTTCCAAAACATGCAAATTATCTTGCTTTGAATCTAGATTTTGAATAAAATGGTTTCCTAAGTATCTTTTGTTCTGAAGCAGTGAAGACTCTGGGAGAGTTTACTGTGATTGGCAAACTGCAACTTCTTAGTACACAAAAACACAGCTAACATTCTCCTATTTTTTGGAAAGGAGACATAAAACTTTCAAGTTTAGAGATTCATTTTATCAGCTCAGGAAGTTAAAAATTCACAGTGCTATCTATGTACATAGCAGACATTCAGAGCAAAATAGGTGGGCCAATAAGTGAGTACACATATACTCCGCTTTGTGAAAAGTTATTAAAAACTTGCTTTGAAATAAGTATCTATTATTTATTTCTCATTATGAACAGGGCAAAATTCTCAGTCTTTAAGTCACAGGAGTTTTATCTGAGCAAACTTTCAACAAGAATTCGATATCTTTCATTTTGTTCCTTTTTTTACAGAAAAGAAGCAAGAAACCAAATACTGGGGGATATTTTGCACAAGTATGACTTCAAGAAACCCAAGCCAGTGCAAACAATTAAAAAAATAATGGAACCGAAGACAGTGAACCTTTCAGGAATGCTATGGACATTTATCCCCTCTGCTGTCATTTACGTTTCTGTAGTCAAGGCTCAGTTATATCGCAGATGAGGCAACTCCCTAGAAACAATGATCCCTGCTAAAGCTGCTCTAGGAGCACAGGAATTCCTTTGATGAGCTCTAAGAGATTGGTAACAATACCTCCTGAAGGGCCATGTTGCTAGGTAACAGCTTGTTTCCTTGGTCACCGTGAATCCATGGAAGACCCCCAGAAGAGGCTGCAGATTCTTGGTGGACAGCTCTGGTATCCCATCCCAGGGAACATGATGAAAAATGTCTTCAGAAAATAGCTTTATGAAGGCAAGAGGAATTTTTGCACCCGCAAGACATGTCTGAAAGGTAGGAAAATTAAATTAAAAGTCATCATTGTCATTAGTGGAGAGAGAAAAAAAAAAAGCCAAACAAACGTAGATAGTGTTACCAGATGAAATTTCCTTTAGAGACGTAAAGTCATGCAGCCTGTGTTACTGATTATGGTTATCTTCAGAGAGAAGCAAACTCAACTGCCACTCTCCCCTAATACCACGTAACTGGTTACAAATGCAACGCAGTTTCTGTGATTATTGTTGTGATGGAGACAGGTGGGCTTACTCTTTTAGTAACGGTATGTCTAAGAGACATAGGACTCTTCAAGAAAGCATTTGTGATTTTCATGAGAAAAATGGGCAAGATAGCTGAAAGGTAATATTTATTAGTGTTTCCGCTTACGTGAAATTACTATCGTAAAAACAGGACTTATACCAGCTCATTAAGGCCATAAATTAGATTAAATAGAGGCCAAAACCCAATATTTGTTTTCTCACTCCTAAATTTCACAGCTGTTTCATAAGTGTTTCTCAAGCATGCTGATAATTAAACAATATACAATTAGAGGGTTTGTAGTTTTCTTGAATTGTTTTTGTTTTTACATTAGTATAAAACCTGGCTCTCGCATTTTAAAAATAGTATTTGCATCTTCCATTTTCAAGATTAAGTATATCGTGGTTCATAGAAGTGTATGAAACTTATTTATAGCTGCCCTTTACTACCTATAATTAAGAAATGAATTGTGTTTAGGTAAGGGATTAGAATATCAAAGGAGTGAGAGAAGTTCTATTTGTTTACTCAGCTCTTCATATCTCAGTGTCAAGGTACTTGATTTTAATGTTAAAAATTAAATGTGTGTTAATTTGGAGAAATTAGTTCACAAAACAGTAGTTTAAAATGGATAGTCATTCTGTGCAGAATTGTAAACTTTATTTTTCTCTGCTTGCTAAAACTCCTTTAGCACACTATAGCAAAAGGAGTTTATTTGTTCTGTATAAAATAATCTTTACTATCAATATTGTTATTTCTCAACTAGTACATCTTTATAAAATGATTTTAGAGACAGCTTAAAAAGTGATACCCAGGATGCAACTTATTTTATTTTTGGATACACAGTCTCAGTTTATCACCCAGGTTGGAGTGCAGTGGCGCAATCTCGGCTCATTGCAACCTGTCTCCCAGGTTCAAGTTATTCTTGTGCCTCAGCCTCCTGAGTAACTGGGACTACAGGCCTGTGGGACCACACCTTCTAATTTTTGTATTTTTAGTAGATACAGGGTTTCACCAAGTTGTCAGGCCATTCTCAACCTCATGAGTTCAGGCAATCCACCCACCTGAGCCTCCCAAAGTGCTGGTATTACAGACATGAGCCACCACACCCAGCCTACACCAAGGATACAACTTAAACTGTAATCTTCAATTTGTGAAAGGCAAAAGAAGAAAAGATGAAAGGAAGGAAGGAGAAAAGAAAAGGAGAGAGTAAGAGAGGGAAAGAGAAAAGAAAATTTTCTTTGGTGCCAGTATTTCTTCAATCATATTTCTGCATAACATGAAACAAGAATCTTATTCATCCCACCTTCCTCAAATACGGTCAATTTCATTTGGCATTTTATAATTTTATTTCTGCTAGCAAGATCTACTTCAGTCGCACATTGTCTTTTAGTACCTATATTCTTCTAGCTCATAGTTGTTGTGGTTAAATTTTCAAAGTTGTAACAACATAGGGAGTAGTCGATATTCCTCAAGTACTGAAAATCACCTAAGCAGCAGCTATAAATGGTGTTACAATAAAGCTCTAAAAATTTCTAAATATAATTTCATGGAGGGAACATAGAGATAGTTCAGTCTATCTTCACTGGTTCTGTTGAGTACATCTTTCGCTTCTATAAATGTCAGTGAACCCACATGCAGCCACTGAAGTTTACAAGTTTTCCCTCTAGAGAAGTATTATAGGTGTTTGTTCTTTTAGTTTTGTTGTACCTTAATTTGGGGGCCTATACATGTTTATAAGAATGTGTGTGGGGCTAAAATAATAGGGACCTGCAAAATTTATAAGAATAAAAATTGAGTCACATAAAATCTAACTCATTCAGACTGAGGTACAGAAAAAGCAATTGCAATTGTGAATTTTTCAAAATTGAAATTTATTGTTGTATTCTTTTAGAGTCAACAATCTAACTCATTTAGATTAAAATCCTAGACTTTGGGATAACAAATATTTTTGGAATATCTCTAAAACACCTAGCTTTTCAGAATAGTTTGTTGATAAATATTTACTCAATTTATTTAGTTCCAGAAACTTAATTTAAAGCTATCAGTATGTAGTAATAATCTTCAAATTAAAACATCTAGCAAATTTGCCAGTTTAGAAATTAACCACTTGGCATAGCAAATTTCTTCCTGACTTTATGATAACCTCATTCAGAGTACTTTCAGTTATCTCATTACCATGTCTGACACGGAAAGTACAATCATTACCCATTTTACAAACAAAATACAAGCAGAAAGAGGACAGAAACTCTGGGGTTTTACAAGAAAAAAAATGGTCTAAGAAATCAAAGAGGCTGAATTCATCTTTCCTTTCATCCAAATTTAATGCTATAGCATTCATTGTAATTCTCTTCTAGCCCATGCTTCATAAGTACCTGGCTTCACTGACTTTGAGACTCTGGCTCAGTATTTTTTTGGAGGGGAGAAGGAGGCTGAGAGATTGGAAAGAGTAGTGCCCTTTGCCAACTGAAACGCTTTGCTAACTGAAAAATAAAGTTCCACATGCTTTCCTTCCTTCTTTCCTACATACAAAGCTGTCATGCTGAAGCGATGAATATAAATGGAACATTTAGAAACTGAGTTGTATTCTATATTGTTTTGACAATCCTACATGTCTTAAAGGAGCTCCATGGCCTGTGTATGATGTGTGCTCAACATATCTTTATGCGACTTAAGGCTCAACTTCACCTTAGAAACGGGGCCATCTGTCACTTCCTCCTTCACTCGCCTTACAAAGTTACATAAGCACCAACTTGACATTTTAATTAAACAGATAGCAACCGTTGCTACAGACAATTTATGAGGCTTATAAATTTGTGATTGTAAAGAACATTGCAATCTTCTGATGAAAGAGCTCATGAATTGATAAGTTTTATTATTGTTGTTCATCCAGTAGGCTCAGCTCACCTGATTCCTTTTTGTTAGCCATTCTACAATTTTTTTCAACCAAGACTAGAGGGCCAATTCAGATAATACCAGCTATTTTAAAGACACTATAAATCATGGCTGACAAATGCTGTACAGTTTTAGCCATGGCACCCTCTCCATGGCAGCTTTATATTGGAACATTAATAAAATTAATTCCTCTTTCATAAAGGTTTAGATTTGTAATTTATGATAACTGTTTGTTCACTGCAGGCAGAAAGATTAAAACTGAGTAAACCAATATACCAACTAAACTGCATTTGTCTGGTTTTATTTTGGGGGCAAAGAGGCGGGAGCATTTAAAAAACAGTTTGATGTTATCTGGAATAATGTTCTCATAGGTTCTACTACTGAAGGCTTAACTTTTGTTTTCAGCAAGTAATAACTGCTTGAATTTACATGTTCTATTAACTAGTACAATTATTTATATGTGTTTAAGTGATTAGAATAAGAAAAATCAATGCTAATGATTTTTCTTAACTGTACCCTAATAGTGATAGATCTCTACAGTTATTTAAGGAATCACAGTAATTATCTGAATCTTGTATGAATTCTAGCAGTTAAGATGACTGGTTAATTACTAATGTAACTTGGGCAAGTTACCCCGTCTCTCTGTGCCTACGTTTCCTCATCTATAAAGTTGAAATGTTATTCATTTCATTAGGTGATTGGAATGAGTTAATTCATGTAAATCTCTTAGTATAGTCCCATAGCAAATGTCAATAAATAAAAACTATAAAAGTATAATTTTAGTAATAGCAGTACTTGCCATTATAGCAGTAATATTATAAAACAAAATGTCCTATCCCTGAGGCAGAGTCCACATTGTCATCTGAATATTAAAGATACAGAATTGAGGATCAGAGATGATGCTAAGTGCCTCGATAAGGGTGTGGTGCCTGGAATAATATAAGAATGGGAGAAAAGGAATTCAGACTTTGGGGCTTACAAGTAGATTTCATACTCAAAGACAATCAGACTAGTCGTCTATTGGTTGGAATTTTCTTAGCCGAAATGCAATCATTTTTCAATTCATTCTGAAAAATATGAAATGCATGTTGAGAGAGGGGAAGACAGGGAAGGAAGGAGAGAGGGGGAGAAAGCTGGTAAGGGTGTTAGCTGACTACTTACTTGTATTACTAAAGTTTTAATTACCTTCTATTATTAATAAATGCCTGGTCATTACTGGGATAATGCCATAAACAGTTCTAGTTTAAACCAGAAAGAAATCTAATGTAAACTAAGACAATGTGATAATTTTCACTTATACTTTTAATTTCACCTTAAGGTTGTTATGCTTAATCTTGCAAAACTACACAAGAAGGTGTAATAAAAACCCAATCAACCAAATCTTTCTTATCAGATCTTGTAATTATGTGAACTTTGTTTTCCTTGTGTCCTACTTTAAGGAGACTGTATAAACACGATAACGCCACATCGCATACTTCAGATTAAAACACAGAGGGAGGGAGGACTTCCAGGTTATTCTATTAACCCAACCCCTCATTGTTTAACTGTCGATGGTGTTTATAGTCACAAGACACAAGTCACTGAAGGAAGATTTATCCATATCCATTGTCCTTATTTTTCTTATTTTGGCATAAAATGGCTAGCGTATTTTAGTAAAGACAAATGAACCCAAAAGTCAGTTAAACTTTCATTCCTGTTAATCCTCTATTATTAGTGGTATAAATATAGGAATACCAGGAGAATTGGAGTGTTGTTACATGAAAGGTTGAGTGGCATTCTAAAGTGAGTAAAACTGGTTAAAGAGCCTGACTTTTTGTTTGCCACTAATCTGAGGAAATATAACAGGCTTAGGGAAAATCTAAGTTCCAGAATCCAGGGGCGACCAATAGAGATTTTAAGGATGCTCATACTTGCCAAATCTGAAGCTATAGGTCTACTAGGCAAGATGTTCCAGTATGAGAGCTGTCCTGCTTGGTATCTTATAAGTCTGCGTGTGCGTGTGCGTGTGCGTGTGGGTGTGTGTGTGCATGTGTTTTCACATATACTATTAGATGCTTTTTCTAAGATACAGTCTATGTTGACACCCTTACCTTTGAGAAGAATGTCTCAAGTGACCATTAGCCATAAAAATTTGGTTAGAACTGTGAAAAGAGGTAAAAGTCCTTCTAAAATCTATGGTATTATCTTTCTTTCAAGGGAAAACTTTATGCTTATTTTTGTTGGTTTTGTTTTTTGGTTGGTTTTTAAAATTTTTTTTTATTTTTATTTTTTGAAGGAATCGCTGTCTCCCAGGCTGGAGTGTAGTAGCATGATCTCAGCTCACTGCAACCTCTGCCTCTTAGGTTCAAGAGATTCTTCTGCCTCAGCCTCCTGAGTAGCTGGGATTACAGGCCCACCCCACCACACCCACCTAATTTTTAAGTTTTTAGTAGAGACGAGGTTTCACCATGTTGGCCAGTCTGGTTTTGAACGGCTGACCTAGTGATGTGACTGCCTCAGCCTCCCAGAGTTTTGGGATTTCAGGCCTGAGTCACTGTGCCCAGCCTGTTACTGTTTTAAACAAGAATATTTACATTTTAAAACTTTAGAAGATATGAACACTTTAAGCATTTTCTTTTTTTTTTTTTTTTTATTTTTTTTGATTTTTTTTTTTTTTTCTTTTACTCAGTTCCTCAGGTCAAAATACAAGTAGTCAAGAGATCTGTCCATCTAATTCATCATACTACTCTGATCCAAGTGAGACCCACATTGGGTCAGCTCCATCAAGGAGAGGAACATTTTACCCGTGTTTGGATTCTGGAATATCATCCTTGGTAAATATTTTAAATTAACTCTTTACATAAGTTTATAAAACATATTTTATTTGATATTCAACATTTTAAAGTAAGTGTATTAGCTGTTCACCCCTACCTTTTTAATTGTGAGAGGAGAAATGAAAGGCTGATACTCTCAGTCCCAATTAAAAGACAAAAAAGAAAAAAAAGAAAGAAAAGTTGGAGTGGAGGAAGGAAGATCAAAAAGGAGGAGGAGATGAGTAGAGAAGATAATGACTCTTTAAAAACAGCACTCCTTCCTTTCTCCTGCTGAGTGCAAATTCTGTCTCTAGTCTGAGATTTCCTTTCCTTTCTTTCTGGAATTTTGTCTGTGAGACACATTTTTCTTTTCTCCCAGACTCACCACTTGTAAGACATTCTCTCTAAGCCATCTAACTGAGATAATACATGCCTTTTCTCCCTTCCCTTTATACGTAATTATTCCAGGCATCCCACTGGATTAAGATGAATTATTAATATGTCTACCTCCCAAATTATAGAAAGTTACTTTTCCAAGCACAACTATCGTGTTTTATTCAACATTGCATCCCCAGTGTCTAACAGAGGGCCTGACATATAATATGGTAAAATATATTTTTTTGAATAGAATGAAATGAAGCATGCTAGCATCAAACATTTATTGAACAATACATTAAATCAATTGGCCTATCAGAATTTAAAAAAAGAAAAAGAAAAAACTACAGGCCAAGACACTAATATTCACTGTTTCTTTAGGAAGGAACAACTGGCACACATCTGCACCACTCTGAAAACCTTACACAGAAATAAATGAAAACCTGCAGCAGCTCATTTTCCTATAATGTCAGAAGTTTCAAAAATCAACCACTTGGCTCCTTTAAAAAACAAACAGGCTTTTTGTACAAAAGTAGATGTCTAATGAAAAGTAAAAAGTTTCCTCTTGAATACAGCTTTAGCTTAAAACAATTTTTCTTTTCCCAGCACAAGCCTCATAAGATAGCACAGAGGCAGTGGGTGTGGCAATCCTAGGAAACTTTACTTCCAAGAAATGTTTATTCTATAATAGAAACAAGAAAAGAAAAATTCCAAAAGCATATAATATGTTGGGAAAGAGCCTTTCATAACCATATAAACTGAACAGCCAAGAGTAGGTTGTGGGCTATATTATTCCTTAATAATCTAAAATGTTTTGTATTTATTGTTTTCCTAAAAGAATAGTACAAAAGGATGAGTAATTTCTTGAAAGCAAATCCTCAAACTATCTCTAAGAACTGCTTAAACATAAGTTAACGTTTTAGTGTTGCTATTAATAAGGTAGACAGCTTTTGTTACTGTAGTATTTTTTAAATGGAGATATTGGGATATTTACTGAAGCAATCAAGCTCATTCGATGAGTAAGTAATGCAGCTCACATATCAAAGTCAAATTATTATTAAAAAACCAACTCTTTTCAACTTATTTTGGGGCAGCACTTTCCAAATTCTGCTCTAAAGAATAGAGCATTTGTTCCAAACACTTAATGTTTTTTAAACTAAATATTCTGAGTTCGTACATGTGTATAACTTTGGCTAAAAGAATGAATGAATCTGTTGTAAAATTTAACATAATATTCTTTTCAAGTAATATGCCTTTTGTTTGTGTTAATCCTGAAATGATCACAAGTTATGTAAAATACTGAAATTTGGATAGACAACCTCAATGTTAGTAAACAAATAAAATGGTCCCAAATGTGATCCTGGCACTTGTTCCCTTTGGTAATAAACTGTCCAGAACAAGATGGCTATACCTGAAATATTTCATTGAGTTTGAACTACACATTTTAAGAGCAATGTCAATAAGTTGAAAGTTTTCCCAAGAATAACCACCAAAATGTTTACTAATTTATAAACCATTATCTATGATCAATGAATGTCTTAGAGAATATTATTGAACATTTAAAACCATAATCAGGCCGGGCGCGGTGGCTCAAGCCTGTAATCCCAGCACTTTGGGAGGCCGAGGCGGGTGGATCACGAGGTCAAGAGATCGAGACCATCCTGGTCAACATAGTGAAACCCCGTCTCTACTAAAAATACAAAAAATTAGCTGGGCATGGTGGCGCGTGCCTGTAATCCCAGCTACTCAGGAGGCTGAGGCAGGAGAATTGCCTGAACCCAGGAGGCGGAGGTTGCGGTGAGCCGAGATCGCGCCATTGCACTCCAGCCTGGCTAACAAGAGCGAAACTCCGTCTCAAAAAAAAACAAAACAAACAAAAAAAACCAACATAATCATATGTGGAGGGATTCTCTGTGGAGCCTTAAAAAAATGTAACTTGTACAATTGGAGCAAGTATAGAAGGATATATAATCAACAGAAGACATCTTAACAATTAGAACTGTTATAAATGGAATGAGACTGCTCATGAGATATTCAATAAATATTAAAGGACAATTTATACAAATTGGCCTAAAGGGGATCATGAATGGGTACGTATATTTATTCATGATGTCATTTGCCATCAAATGTAAATCAATTGCAGGTGTTGGGGACACAAAGTTGAATAAGAACACATAATTTAGATTGGACTAAGATGATTTCCATGAGCACACCATTAGATATTTGGAGTTCGATTTGGCTAAGTGTTTGGTATGGATTTGCATTACTTTTATGCACAGAAGTAAGTGAACTACATATTGCCAGATGTTATATATTTCTCTTCTCTCTTATTTTAAAGCTTCCTTTCGATTCTTGTAAGTACCTCACTTGGCACAAGGTAGAACAACATGACATTCAAGGAAGTCAACTGCGTTGCCCAAGAGTAAGAGAAGGTAAAATAATAAATGTGTGCCTTTTTTTTTGTGTACATTCTCTGAGCAGAATTTTTTGTGGCTTAAAAGACATTACTTGAAGAAAAATACATCATTTGGAGGTAAAATTTTCCTTTTTCAAGACTAGAGAATTGTTAATATGTGAAGCCACCTTTGAAAGCATATTCTTATAACTGATTATATAAATAACATTTGGCATTATTGGAAAAAATTGAAAGATAAAGAAGAACCTGTAACCAACTATCCAGAATAACCACTCTGACTTTTGTTTCCATTTACTCTTTTGTTGTAAAATATATACATACATATTATATACACACATAATTTTTTTCACTTAAAATGAATAAGCATTTCTTCCATTCCATTAAACATTACCCAAATCATACTTTTTAAAGCTTACATAATTTTCTATCATATGAATATCATTAAATGTATTTAACCAATAATCTTTGTTATAAAAATAGTAAACTAAATTTTTAACAATGTTATTCACAATGTATATATCCCTCTCAATATATACATCTGTGTATATACATCTACATATATATATGTATATATATATCTAGAGAGAGAGATAAGTAGATAGAGACTTATTATAGGAATCACATGATTATAGAGACTGAGAAGTCCTACAGTATGCCTTCTGTAAGCTGGAGAAACAGGGAAGCCTGTGGTACAATTTGGTCTGTGTCTGAAGATCTGAAAATCAGGAGGCTGATAGTGATAGTCTGTCAGTGTCTATCAGAGCCCTCAATGGGTTGCAAGATGTCTGCCCACATTGGTGAGGTCAAATCTTTGCTCAGATTGCTGATTCAAATGCCCATCTCTTCGAGATACGCCCTCACAGATGGATAATTGTGTCAACTTGATTGCATTAAAGAATAACTAGATAAACTGGTAAAGCATTATTTCTGGGAATGTCTGTGAGGGTGTTTCTGGCATAGATTGGCATTTGAACCAATGGATTGAGTAAGGAAGATCTGCCCTCACTGAGTGTGGGTGGGCACTATCTAAGTGGTTGAGAACCCAGGGAGAACAAAAATGCAGAGAAACAATAAATTTTCTTTCTCTTTTGGAGTTGGGACAATGATCTCCTGCCCTTGGACATGAGAACTCAAAGGTCTTTGGCTTTCGGACTCTAGGATTTGGATCAGCAGGCCCTCAGACTCTCAGGCATTCTCAGGTATCACACTCAGTGACACCATCAGCTCTCCTGCTTCTTAGACCTTTAGACTCAAACTCTTACACCACTGGCTTCATGGGTTCTCCAGCCTGCAGACAGTATACTGTGGGACATCTCAGCCTCCATCATTATGTAAGCCAATTCCTATAATGACCCCTCTTCTCTCTCTCTCTCATATTGGTTCTGTTTCTCAGGAGAACCCTAATACACAGACATACCCAGGGACAAGGTCTCATTTGTTGTCTGGGTATTCCTTAATTCAGTCAAGTTAACATCTAAAATTAACCATCACACTAAATGAATCAGGTAGTCTCATTTTACATTTTCACATGGCACTTTAAATTTGGTAGAATAACTGTTTTGCTATTACTCTTTTATTCTATCAGATTGTATAAGGGTAATAGTATAACAGTATGAAGAACTGCTATCTGCAGTCATTGATATACATAATGTTTGATTTCAAAAAGTAGCTTTCAATAGATTATAAATTCGTAAGAACAGAGATCATGTGTTTCTCATGTCTTTTTTTGCATCCACAAAAGCCAATGAATTAATATTAGACATAATTCCTGCTTCAGTGAGTGTTTAGTCTCTAGGAAACAAATATCTTGGCTATCTTCCATCTATATTAGTGGACTTGTAGTAATATTGTATATCGTACAATTTTACTATTGATTTAGAAAAAGTGGCTTTAGATCCACTTATCTGCTCATTTCTCCTCTGAGGATCCCCACATGATGCTTCTTTCGTTCAAACTCAGTTGGCAAAGGAAGGGAAGAACTAGAACAGCATAATTTTCTTGTACTTTGAATAAAATATGTTCTTATGCTTTAACTCTGTCAGCTCTATTTGCAGCCAAGCACTGACTCCTATTTTTAAAATGTGAGTAGATAGTACTACTAGGGATAAATTAGAGTTGTCCTTTTGGGACCTTAGAATTTTTTTTCTCCCTCAAGTGAGAAATTGTGAGGAATTAGAAAAGAACGACACCAAGAGAAGTGGCGGCTCAGTGTGTCGCATGTGTAAGGAGTCTTCCAGCAAAAGGAAAAGAGAGCTAAGTCACAGACTAAAGCAGGAAGTGTTTAATTTAGTCCCTAAGCTTCACTGTGTGAACAAATCATCTTGAGGTGTGTGAAAAGTCAGATTCCTGGGTCCTACTCCCAAATAATCTGATGTGGTTAGTAAGGCACGGAGCCCAGAATCCAGATTTGTAAAAATTTATCACAGGGAATTCTGTTGTAGATGACTTGAAGGCCATCGTATGAGAAACACTGTTTAAGAGGTATGAGGAAAGGAAGAGAATAAAGAAATTTGAATAGAAAGTGAGAAGACTGATAAGTAAAAACGCTGACATGAGTGTGTGTTTACAGGGGCAGGCGGTTGATAATCGTGGCCATCACAGAGAGGCAAAAAGAGATTGTATTCTCTTTTTGTATTCAGCAGAAGTGCTGGCTTGAGGTTTAGAGAGAACTGCAGAAATTGGAGATGACGAGAAAATAAAATGTGAGAGTAAACTGAAAATGAGCTTGTGCAGAGAACATCCAAAGGTCTCCTCCTCTCCCTGACTTAAATGACCAGGTTATGTACTGAGGTCATCACTCCGCAAAACCAATCCCACACAATGACCATGGTAGCCATTCATGCAGAAGACCTCATTGCTCTGCAGAGATAAAAGTACATTTTCCTTCTATAGATCATTAACAACACCCAATCTCTTGTAAGCGACTGGTCATAAAAGGACCAGAACATAATCACAGGGATGGAAAACCTCGGAAAATCCTATCGCCTCAAACCAGGGAGAAAATAGATGTCCCTCCTTCATTGCTCTCAATTTTGTTTAAGTTTGTTTTGTGGCATGGAGAACAAGTGCTTTTCAAAAGCATTTTGAGAATTACCCTCTTTCCACATTAGATCTTGAAACACCCATCAAAGCTACTTCAGTTGATCTCAATTGCCTCGATTGTACATTCAGGAAGAGTTCATAAGAAAGGAAAGGTTATCTGGTGTGTGACAAACAGCAATTGCTGAAGGCTTCGATTGTCAGATCAAGGCTGCCTTAAGTTTTCACAATTAAATAAAGCAAAAGAGTAAACTGCTGGCAGAATTCTTGTAAAGAACAGATTCTTTCCCTTCAAAAATATCCCAGAAAATTAATTCGATGACTGCTATTTTGTGTTACAAATCCAGTGAGGGGACAAAGAATAGGCTGAGAGGGAGCAAGTGAAAGCCAACCTCGCTGAACTGTCAGATTTTCCAGACTGTAGTTCAGCTGCTGAGATATATCTTAAATCACTAACCAAGCCTGAGGAAAAAAAAATCCAATTTAATTCAACTCCTCACAGTGGAAGTGAACTTTGGCCTCCAACTTCAAAGAAAGCTTTGAAAGCTACTTTAAAAAGAAATAATTAAAAGAGCAGAAGATCAATAACATTCAAACAAACAATACAGGGAAGAGTTTAATAACTCTGGGTTATCTGGTGCACAGAGAAAGCCACCAAATTTGAAGTGGGGCTGGTGAAAGGTAATACAGCCTGAAGGTCTCCCTGGTCAATTAGGTGATCGTTCCAGTTTTCCACTTCTGTGATTTTTAAATCCAATCACCCTAATCAATGAAGAAGAAGAAGATTTCCTAACACAAGGATATTTTATTTGTAAGTTGATTGAGAGACTGCCTCATTCAGGGTCAAAGGATTTCCTGGGTGATAACAGCAGAGGTCATTATTAGAGAAATGACTGAAAGGGAAGGCTACACTCTGACCTCCACATGCCCCTGAGGGTAAGAACTGATGTTTGTGCCGAAATAATGAAATATTGGACTTTCTCTTTTTGCCTTGAACTTACTTTCTATCATAGTCCACAAAAGCAAACAGACCACGAAAGCAATGTTTGTTTTTTGATGTCCTCAGTGTCCTTTTCCTTTATTCTTTTACCTCTGAAATGAGGGGAGTCACGCATTCCAGAAAAACAGGGTAGGGAAAGTGCACACCAGTGGTACCAGGTGTGACTCGTAGGAATACACCGTGATAGAGCTGGTAGGAAACTAAAGTACGTTAGCGTGGGGTTGCTTTCAGGGGCCTGGTTGTCATCGTATCTGAGTGAAGTTTGCTGGGGAAGCACACTAGAGAGTGTCGGGGACTATGGCAATAAAAAGGCCTATATTGGCCTTAAAGTACTGGAAATCAGTATTTTTATAAAAAGCCTACATTGGCCTTAAAGTACTGGAAATCACTATTTTTATAAAGCACCATGAATATCAAACATGTTTTCTCACCAGCTTCAGTTCTTGGTCAGCCCTTGATTCAGGCCTTACCCCTTTTTTTTGCCAACATGAAAAACTGAAGATCAGGAAATTAAAATTAGTCATCTGGAGTCCCACATTTATCTACTAACCAATTCCAGACTGGAAACAGGACATTCTTTCCCTATCCCTGAAAGTTTTGTGAAAACCTTACTTGGCGGATGATAATGTTGGAAAATAGTGAGAAATGAGTTCAGAAATGGACATTGAGGTAAGATTTCGGAAAGCCTTATCTGACAAACTAGGATTTGTAGGCAAGAAGGAATTTCCAAAGTGTTTTGTGTAGTGAGTCCTATGATAAAAGCTGTTTTAGCAAGGTTGTATGGTAACGTGTGCCATTTACATCAGAGGAGAGAACATTGCAGGCAAGAAGATTCAAGAGAAAGTAATTACAGTTTAAGTTGGAAGACATGAAAATCTAGACATTGAAAAGGAAGGGACGGATTCTCAAAAGGAAAACTACTAGGATAAGGTGACTTATTGAATTGAGAGACAAAAGAGAAAGAAAATAAGGAGTGACTTCACAATCCCCAAAGAGAAAATTATATGAAGATTAAATCACTGTACTAGTGATTGTTGTCACTTGACTAGGCTAGAAATATTTATGTAGGATTAAAAGTTAGTTCTACATGTTGACTTTTTTTTTCTACTATTAATAGAAGTAACTCCCCTCTCCTTTTAATAATAGTCCTAGAAAGTAATTAAATTATCTGTGAACCTTTAAATATATTCCCAGAATTTAAGGCAGGTATATAAAAAAATAGAGATATAGTTTAACAGTCACATTTTCATAGTGATGTGCTAAATTAGATTTAAAAATAAATCTATGAGTGAAATTTTAAGCTAAAGGCAACTCAGTCATCTGTAGAAACTTAGACCATGGATAGCATTAAAAAGAACAATTTAAATTTAAATAATCTATAACCCCAGTTTTTCAAAACTATATTAATTTCCCTTTTTAAAAAATGCTTTTTAAAAAGCAAAGCAGATGAAAAAAATAAAATTGCTGATTTGTTTCATATTTCCTCTTTTTTGTGTCACTCATCTTGTTCTAAGAGGGCTGGGAAGTAAGCCTCTCACACACAGCCACAGGCTCCTACAGCAGAAGGATATTGAGAAAACTGAGTGGTTTAGATATTTAATGGTCATCTTTTGATTAATTTATTATTGTCATAACTGTGAATCTGGTTTCGTGTTGTCAAATGAAAGGTTTAGCTCGATTTTCCTCAGAAGATAGGAGAGGAAAGTAATTTGGCAAATTTTTTTTTAAAAAGTAATTTTCAACCATTAGGAAATGAAAAATGTGGTGGAGTCCTGGATCTTTCCGTGTCTCCAACCTTTCCCGCAACCAGGTTAGGGAGACAGGAATGGGCTAAATCACTTTATTACTGCTCACACTATGTGGGCCAAATCATGTTTCCCCAGGTCCTGATATCTAGTGGGAGCTTCAAATAACTGGCCAAATGTCAAGTGAAGATGCCAGTCCTGCCCCCTAACCATACTTCCAAAATCTCACCTTGTGGTTCTTATCTAGGACCCTCTGCAGAAGAGCACCTTTTCAGACAGCTAGAGTGTGCCTTGCCCCCAAGGAAAAAGTTCTTGAAAAAAAACAAATGGGAAACATGGCTACAAGAAAACTGGGAAGACTGCAAGGTAAGAACTTAAAAAAAAAAAAAAAGCTTATTTTTTCACTTTTTTTTTTTTTTTTAAGGCATACATAACAAAACTTTTAGCATCTCTTCAGAGCTTTCTCTACAACTCAGTGTTTGGGCTTCTCTATTACTTCTTCCTCCCTTCTTTCCATCATGATATGCTACGTATTTTCTAACCTTTATTTTAACCTGATATTGCTAAAATTTGACAAAAAGTTTAAAATACTTGAGAACAAAATTGTTCATTTTTTTTAAAAAGCCAAATGTTGGACAATCCATGTCAATGAGTTTATGATGCAGTCTGGAATCCTTTGAACGATGCATCAGGATGAAACTTTTGAGCAGACAGCTCAAACAAGTCTATCCTGGAACAAATCAAAATTTTTCACCAGTGAGGGAGCCGGATTGTCATTTCCAGGTGCTGAAAATCACCCTGCTGACTGAGCGGCAAGCACTGAACCATCCCCTGCAGTTAGTCAACCTGACCACTACAAAGTTGTGGCGCTGTCACTACTTCAAGCTTCTGATTCCAGCTGGATCCAATCATGCTCAGGCAGAGGACTGGAGAGTGAACTGGGAAAGACAAGTGTTGCTGGCAATTAAAAGAATAAGTCGACTACTTCACAACAGAGTGAGAGGCTGATATTTTCGTACCAAGGGATAGAATTATACTTGAAAAGTTTAAGAAGCCTTCCAGAAACGAAACAGGGTTTAAAACTTGGTTGGCAGACTCCATGTTTGGGTCCCCTTCCACAAACACTCCCTTGGTAGAAGCCGCCTTTCTCTCTCCTGGATCTCCCCTCTGGGTTCCCCTTCCACACTCTCATGGAAGCCTGGCTTCCCCTCCTAAACTCCATCTCTCTCTATTCCCTTCCACTCAGTGTGGAAACTGCTTTCCCCTCCTGGATTCCATCTTTGTGGATTCTCTCACTCTGTGTGAGAGAAAGCGGTTTCTCTCTCCTTCTCCTGGTTCTCTCCCTAAATGACTTTCTACAAAAAAAAAAAGAAAGAAAGAAAGAAAACTCTGTTGAGGACTCCTGATGCCTCCTTTGCTTCACAGACTTATATACCATAGAATTATAAAATTAGGGGATAAGGAGCTTTAGAGAGGGTCTGGTTTAAATTTCTTGTTTTTAGGAAGGAAAAGGAAGTCCAGAAAGAAAACTGACTGGCCTAAAGTTATCCAATTTTTCAGGGAATGAAAAAAAAAATGGAATACCATGTCCCAGTATGATTCTGTCTTTTCAAATTAAGTTATTCATATATAATGAATGGATACAATCTAATAAAAATGTAAACAACACATCTACTTATTTTAAAATTTTAAACAACATACCTAAGGCCCCGACTCCATTCCTAGACTCTCTTTAGGAGTGGTCATTTTGGTGTTTTTCAAGGCCAGCTCGGTCACAGAGCTGCCCACCCAGGCAGCACTGAAGGTATTAAACAGACATAGAGGTAGAGAGAGAGTGCAAAGTGGAACTTTTAGAGCATTACTAACCTTCTGAACTGACAGCCTCAAGAGCCAACAGCCTTCAGAGCTGAGCGCCTTGAGCAGACGCTGACCCATGTATTTATTCTCTCTGAACAGGTGATTATTATTAACAAGCAGGTTTTCTGTGTTTTCTCATAGACCCAAGATAAACTAGGCAGGCAGCTGGTACCTGCCTACCACTGATCAAAGGCAAACCAGAAAGCGTTCTCCATGAGGGAGCCACGGGGGCAGGGTCACATATCCTGTGCTTAAAGAACTAGTGTAACTGGTGTATGATATAAATATACTGTTTACTACTTTAGAATGTCCTAAGCAGTTTTCTGCTTAGGGGGCTGGCTCAGTTTTTCTTGCCATCATTCTCAGTAAACAATATAATTCATCACACACGTTAGGACTTGTCCCAGCAGGTGTTTATATTCATTCCTTCATTACATGTGCAATTTAAACCTTGGGTATACTTTAAGGTAAATGGAGCCTTGCCAATAAATTCATAGAAAAATTAATTGTCCTTTCAATAACTCTACTGTAAGAGAAACTCTAAATAAACTCTAAACTATCACAGAAAACTTAATTGGGAAATAGTGATAAATTTTTTTAAAAGATTCTGAGGAGATGATTTTAATGTATAGGTAATACACATAAACTTTTATCATTTTTCAAGTTTTATTTAAAATAAAGACCTTAATAATCTTTCTAAAGATAATGTCTACATTTCCTTAAAAACAGCAATTGTTTGACTCAAATTTTTAAAAAAGGGATTGTCATTCTATTCAATAATTATTGACAGAAATTGATGGTAAAATATGGAAAAAAAATTAAGTTGACTTTTAGGAATGCATTTTACAAGAGCAATGCAACCACTGAGAGCAGTAGCAATGTGTTTTATACCAAAGTTGCTGATGTTAAAAGTGAAAACATTCACTATCTTTGAAGTACACCAAGTCATTTTGAAGTATGTATCTCTAGTTAATTTAAACAAAACCTTAGTTTTCCTCTTTCAAGTGATGTTATCTTACTCTGAAAATTTTATAAATGTGATTTCTGAGATTTTCAAGTGAAGCTAATGATTACTGATCATGTAAAGCAGTCAGAAGTGCATCTCTTCCATTCTACACCCCTAGAAAATCTCAGAATCTGCTTGAGAATCCTGTTCTTCCTCCATACACCCTTGGAACCCTCCCAAACCCTGTATGCTGCTCAGTAATTCTGATCAAGATCTTCACCCTCCCTGTCTTGAGAATTGCTACAACATAATTGTGTTTGGATGTATGAATACTCTGGAGGACCAAAAAAAAAAAAAAAGGTTAAAAACGACTGGTATAATTAATATATACAATACATTTTAAATGAATAACTAAAGTTGACCAAAAAAAAACCCTTATATTTTTCTTTTTATTGGTTTTTCCTCAGAACTTGAACATTTCATTTCAGGATTTGGGGGATCCTTACCACGTTGAAAATTTTAACAGAATTCTTAGAAGACTAATTCGAGTTGAAACCCTCTGGTTAGTGGATAATTCACTGGTGGATTTAAGTGCCATAAGATTGCCAAGGTATCTGCTCTGTAGCACATGTGGTTAGCAGGTTAAAGTCTTTGCTATTTAGATGCATGTGATCATTGGCTGTACATACTGCACCTGGACTGCAGGGTCCAGCCCTGCTGAGTCTAGTGGGTGTTCTCTACAGGTGCGGAGATGAGAGACTGTAGAAATAAAGACACGACACACTGAAATCAAGAGAAAAGGAGTTGGGTCCAGGGGACCACTACCACCCGCACCCAGAGACCAGTAGTGGCCCCGAGTGCCTGAACAATCTGACATTTATTGAGTACAAAACAGGGGGCAGGGTAGGTAGGGTGAGTCTATTGAGAGGGTCAAGCAAATCACGTGTCTAAGAAACAGGGGCTCAGGGCTTGCAAGTGGCCGAATCAGGGGGCAGCGAAATGCATCTGCCCTTTATGTTATGGCCCTCGAGTATCGAGGAAGAACAAAGGCTTCAAGAATTATGCTCCTTCTTACTATCCACAAAAGAGGAACCAGGTGAGATGTAGGGAGTGAAAGCAGACACAGATGTAACCAGTACAGCGCAGCACCACACAGACAATTAAGCCCCAGGGCAGCTGCGGGTTGGGCTGACTGGTATCAGTCTTCCCAAAAGAGTGTGGGGAGTGGAGCGTTCTCCGACTCGCCCAAGGACAGGAAAGTTCCCTTCCAAGGCCAGCTGAGCAGCAGGTGCTTCCCCAAGCACTGCCACTACCGCAGAGATTTCAGATGCCCTCCAGCAACCCTTATGCGGTGTGACAGAGGGCTTGGTTTCGCATTCAACAGGTTGTCCCTGCTGATGGCCACCAGTCCATGTTGGACAGGTATTAATGCTCTTGCCTCGTGGCCACATTCCATAATGTCCCCTATCAGTCCCTGACCACAGCAACTCGAAGTTCCTAGATAATTATGCTTAAAGTACAAGAAGGCTTTAATCAAGGCTTAATGCTCAATAAGATTAATATCTAATCACTCATGCTACTTATTCCTAACTGTATTCTTTTCTGTACTCTTATTTATTACACAGGAACTGGCCGAGGCTTAGTCTCCTGCTTTGGCACTTATGAGACTTCCCACCCACACTGGACCTATGTGGTCAGGTCTAAAGGTGACACTTTGCACTAAAGTGGCACATATGGCAAGGCAAAAAGAGAAATTTATGTATCAAAATGTCATACTTTAGAAGGAAACATCTATTTTTTCAAATTAATATTTTATTACTAAATTTTAGGTAAGTTCTTTGTATGCGCAGAAAAGTTTGCCATTTTCCTTGTGTTATAAACTGGAAAATGCAATTACATTACATACACATTATCATTGTAAGATAGTAATTTTTAGTCATTTTTTTTGAACACCTATGGGGAAAAACTTCAGAAGGTAGTTAAGAATAGTAGGTGTCAGGGTAACACTCTGTTTTTGAAGTGGAGGCTGGTTATCAGATTAAGGACAGAAATAAACTAAAAATAAAAAAATATATATTTATAGGCTCTTTAGTCTCTCAAGGATTCCAGGCTCATATTGTTAAAAATAACCTCTTTCTGCTCAGGGATTTCTTGAGAATCCTTATTACAGGGTGCTGCTATTTGCTTCAGCCAGCAGAATGGGTAGGTGGAGTGAGCTTTGGTGGCAATGAGAAGGGCCAACAGAGGTCCTCGGGAGTGAATTAGATGAAGGAAATTGAGCATCCACAAAAAGGAAGGGTAATTTCTAGAGCAGGTTAAGCTACAGTTCTGACCATTGGCTGAGAGAAGGTCACAGAACGAGGCCATTACAGCTGTACACAAGAGGGAAGCAGACAGGAAGTGCCAGGACATGCAATTTTCCCCCACCTTCAGTCATTTTCAAAGCCACTTTGAAACTTTAGACACACTTACATAGCATTTGAATTTACTTCTGCTCTTTTTAAATGACCAATATAAAAATACCCAAATAAAAATTTTCAAAAGAAACTTTATATTACTACCATAAATTTAAAAATCAGTATCACTGATATTCATTTATTCAGTATTTCTTTTCTTTCTTTTTTCTTTTTTTTTTTTAGCTAGACCCTCTTCTAGCTACTGGGGATATGATAGTGATGCATTAGTTATGTTTTTATGATACATATTTAAATACATATTATAACATTTAAACACAAAACAAAAATATTTTACTAGTCACAAATGCCCATAGTATATTTTAGGAACATTGAACTAGAAGATTATTTACCTGTAATATTTGAAGTTGCTTTGATCCAGATCAATAAGCTTTTCAACTTTTTACTATTTTAGTTAAAAAAGAAAAATCACAATCATTAAAAGACTTGACCCAGTTTCAGCGTTCTCTAAATGCATTTCTTGGTTATTCTTTTCTTTAGAGGTAAGATTTATAATATAAAATTACACAGTTGCAAATCAAACTTTACAATTGCCAAATCAACCTATTAGGGAAGAAAAAAAGCATGGATGCATGCATATTCAAAGCCTCCTTTCCCTATCCCCAGAGAAAGTGGTGTCACCACCCACTTGCTTTGCCCTGCTTCTCTCCCGGAACATTTCCTATCGACTGGGGCAATCTACGACGCGGTGAATCTGCGACACTGAAAGGATAAGAGGATAGCTATCAAAAAGTGAGAGCGTGGCTGGTAAACAAGAGAACAACAGGTTGCTGAGGAGCATGGGGAGAGAGGCAGCAGGGCAGGAACTTCTTGGACTGGGTTTTCAATGAGAAATTGTCACGGTACTGAAGTGTTCCTGAAGTCTATATGAATTCTGGAAATAAGCAGAAGTCAAACGTTATCAAAGGTCAGATGAGATCTACATAAAATATATATCTGGAGCGGAACTGAAAGGAAACAAAAAAAAAATACAAATAATAGATACAAAAAATTGCAATGACATCTGGGTGGTTCAAAGGGATTTTTTTTTTTCTCCTGATACCTGTATATTGCAGTTTTCTCTTTATAGAACCGTCTTTCCCATTAGCAATGACCATGTACCAAGCGTCTTTATGGGGCCCAAGGCAAATAAATCTGTACCTGTATTTACCTCATGATATTAAATCCTAACTTACACAGTGTCAGTGATAGATGTTGAATTATTTTCTCTATTTGCACAGTTTTGTCCAGTTACAGTTTTAAGGCAAAAATATTGAGATGCAATGTCTATCAGGAAAATGTATTAAGTTTAAATGCCTAACACACTACTTTTAAAGAAACTTTTTAGTTTTCTTTTATATTAAAAATGCCTCATCTGATTTAAAATGCTGTTTTCTCAATATAGATTTTTTTAAATTACAGAAAATTTAAAAAATTCTTACTACTTAGAGACAGTATTCTTCACAAATTTGTGTGTGTGTGTGTGTCTACTTTTATATTGCTGGGATGATATGCAGCTATTCATCCTTTTCATCAGGATATATCAAGAATCCACCATGGGTCAAGTCAGGTACCAAGCATATTAATTAGAAAAGAAAGCAGGTTCCTAAGCTCCACAAGCTTATGGTCTCATGTATCTTGCTTATTTTCTCTTAATATTCTACTATAAATATTTCTCCTTTTTTTGCAAACCATATTTGTCACAGAGTTTGCATGTGACTGTCATGTCAGTAACATCGCTGTTACTCAGTTGAGGAATTGTCTAGAAGAGGCATGCTAGTCTTATGTTGGGTTTGATAGTTAACCATTCTCTTTAGGAGACAAGTAACAAGTTGTTTGTGTTTTGTATCCAGCTGCAGAATTTTAAACATGAGCAAAAACCATCTCACATCTTTCAAACAATTGCCAAAGTTACCTCAGAGAGAGCATTTATCCTTGGCCGAAAATCACATTGAGACTCTGACTGGACTCTCCAGTTTACGGTGCGCTCCACTGGAATCCCTGATTCTCAAGAGGAACCCCTGTGAGTTCCACCAAAATTACAGGAAGCAGTAAGGCCCCAAACACCCTAAGTCGCCTTTTGCACTTCATTGAATATTATACTTTTAACTATATTTTAAAATATTGTTCCTCTGTTGCTCGAATTTACTCAGCAAATAGTTATAGAATCTACTCTACATTGAACACTTCGTGCTTCTGATCTCATCTAAAGACTTTTGAACTGACCTTTATCTTTTTAAAATTTTATCTTAATACACTTTTTTTTCTTGGTTAACTTATAGCTGCTGTTAAGATTTTTAGGCTCCTTCTGTAATGACTTTACCTATACAAAGATGCTTAATTTTAGACTTTCAAATTCCACACATTTTCTCCCACATGCTTAATAGATATTATGTCTTTTAAAGAATTATACATATGTATATATATTTTATTAAGTTCTGTATGACAATTTTATAAATTGTTAATTCTTTGGTTTTACTTTCACTCTTTGGCCCCCAAGGGCAACATTAAGTGAATACAAAGAATTCAGTTTACTTCAGTGGTTGAAAGAGCTCAAAAACCTGCCAAGAAGAAACCATTTTTATTATTTTGTCACAGCTGGGAACATTCCTAATGATAATAACGGAGTCTAAATCTTGAAGTGTGCACCCAGTAATATGCCCACCTATTTATCTCCAGCTAATTCCCAGCCCCCCTAATTAGTGTATTTAGGGGAATTAAAAGGATAAAAAGAAGCAACTGAATTCTGCAACTTGTATTTGCACCCCTATGACTGCAGGTCATCTCCCCTCCCAGTTGAATCTGTCAAACAAAGAGTTAGATTATCTCCAGGGTCGATTTCTATTATATGATTACAATCGTTTGTTTACTTCCATTTCAATAAAAGACATAGTTTTCACCATCTTATTTTCTCACACTGCTCTGTTCCCATGAACAGCAACTATATTCCACAAGCTACATGATGTTAGACTTCACTGCCTGATGTACAATGAACACTTGTCAAAATAGAAATTCTAATCTCTGTTGTTACATAAATCTCATTACTACAATTGTCTCCCCTATGACTGTAGTCTGGAAACAAAATTTCATTTCTGTGATAATAAATTCTTAAATTGCTTTCACATAACAGTGAAAAGTAGCAGCACAGTTGCTACAATATTGAGCTAATATTTAACCATAATAATATTTGGAGGTTTAAATTATATTTTTTATAATCAGAGGAGGTTAAGCTGGACATTTCAACAATCATTCATAAGAAAGCACATTCCTAGTAATAAAAATAATTTAACAGTATTGTATTTCAGTTTTGTTAATTCATATGTGGGGTTTTATAAAGCATTTTGTTCCCAGCTCAGCCACTTGCTTCTCTTCAAAGAATGCCTTACAATAACAATATTAAAATGAATTGTCTGAAATCTGATATGCCCTGAGGTCTTACTATAATTCTGTCTACAAAATTCATGATGTGGTGTAGAGTTATGAAGGAATGAAGAATATAATGAGGTTCTTCTGTTTTTCCAGTATTAACTCTATTGGATTAAGTCCAAGGTGTATATAGGCTGACTTTCAAGTTATAAAAAGCCAGGTTATATTGACTTAGGTAGGGCAGGGTTGTGTTGAACAGAAAGATGGGGTCATTTTAAAGTATGAGGAAAAGGTTTAAGCATCCACTCCTGCTAAGGATCTGAGCTGAAGTCAGAAGTTCATTCAAGTCTGAGTTCAGTTACCAAGCCAAAAATCCATACCGTGAAGACGGTAACAGCATTCATTTTGTCACTTGGTATCTGTGTTGAGGATTTGGGCCAGAGTTTCAGGTGACTCTTTACACACCATGCTCAGAATTATTTGAAGTATAAGCTTTTCTTAATCATTATCACCTAGAATTGTGACTGCTTTCCCCTCCTCCTTTGATTCAGATCCTCCAATAAGAAGACAGCACAATTCAAAAGAGAAAGGACTTAATGATAGAGCTAATAGTGTAAGTCCCAGTAGGTTAGAAGGTGGCCCCATTCCTGGGATACCTACAGGCAAACTTCTCTAACATTCTCCAGGAGTCAAACATGATATTAGTTCATTATAGCTTGACTTTAAAAAAATATCAGTGGCTAGAAATTCGTGCCAGCTTAGGCTGAATTTTGAAGCCCGAAGACGTAGATTTTAATATTTCCTTTGTCATCTAGAGGCTTTATGATTTTGAATAAGTTACTCAAAATGAGGGATAAAAACCAATCTGACAGAGTTGTTGTGAGGATTAAAAGAGATGCATAAGAAGTGATTAATGTTAAGAAAATCATGCAGCCAATGGGAGCTTTCAAGGAGGTCAGCACCTTCATTAGTTGACTTAGCATATCTGCTAGGAGGTTTCAATATCTTTCATGCAGGCAAATTCGAATGCCATAGATTTCCCCCAGCCTAAACCCTCATAATTCCCAGATCTAGAAAAGTTGTTCATTCTAAAGAAAATGCTGCTTTTTAACACTGCTATGTATATGACCACTGTTCACTGGATTGACCTGAGAGATCTCTTTCTGAACATAGAAGTGACTCCCTAAATTTGAAATATGAGCTTTGGCCGGGCGCGGTGGCTCAAGCCTGTAATCCCAGCACTTTGGGAGGCCGAGGCGGGTGGATCACGAGGTCGAGAGATCGAGACCATCCTGGTCAACCTGGTGAAACCCTGTCTCTACTAAAAATACAAAAAATTAGCTGGGCATGGTGGCGCGTGCCTGTAATCCCAGCTACTCAGGAGGCTGAGGCAGGAGAATTGCCTGAACCCAGGAGGCGGAGGTTGCGGTGAGCCGAGATCGCGCCATTGCACTCCAGCCTGGGTAACAAGAGCGAAACTCCATCTCAAAAAAAAAAAAAAGAAAGAAAGAAAGAAAGAAATATGAGCTTTACAGCACAATATTATTTCCCACTCCCTCTTTTATTTTTATTTCCCACTCCCAGCCAGAATTCTTCTTTAACTATCACTGAATATCATAGGCTTACTTTACTTTCTCTCTTTCTAAACTTAAACTTTATAATGAGCACATATATCATGATCTTACTTTTTTCTTTTATGTTTAGTTGGCTAAATTCACTCATTGATTTTTTTTCCTTATAAGATTGTAAAAACTGGAATGAAATTCTCTTATAAATACAGACTGTAGACAGTTCCACTTCTCTGGTCAATATTTACCACTTGCTGAAAGATATATTAGATCCCTGAAAGGGCAAGCTATGACAGGGTCATCAGTTCAATTAACTGAATAATACTTCATTTTAGCTCCACTGCAAAGATAAGCAACACAGAATGAAGTGATAGCCATTCATCTTCCTTATAACAATAGGCAAAATCCATGCACATATAAAGAGAATAAGTGAAATAAAATGCTTTTGTTGAATATAGTTTTTTTTTGTTTTGTTTTGTTTTTTTAACTTTTGCTTTAGAGTATGCTCCTGTTTGCCAAACTTAAAAATGCTGGATGGAATCTTGAAGCTACCAGAAGATTGCTCATCACCAGAAACCAATATTTTTTCAAAAATATGTGTTGTATCCTAATGTAATCTGTATAGAAAGAAAGTAATCATCATTGTTGCTAAAAGCTAATAAATACAGGAAATGCATGATTAAATATTGCAATTTATTTTATATGTATATCTTTTTGCTTGTCTAAATCAAAATAGGAAAGTATTTTCTGTAAAGGACCAGATGGTAAATATTTCAGGCTTTCTGGCCCATATGGCCTGTGTCACACCTACTCAACCCTGCCATGTAGTGCAAAAGCAGCCATTGATGATGTGTAAATGTATGGATGTGTCTGTGTCTCAATAAAACTTTATTTTACAAAATGATGTGGCAGGCTGTAGTTTACTGAGCTCTATTCTAAATTTTAATGTCACATGGTTGATTGCACTATTCACCAATATTCATGTGCCTTCCTTGGAAGAGGTGTATGATTCCTTCACTACTGAAGTTAGATATGTCAAGAAATTGCTTTGCCAGTAAAATATAAATGAATGTGATATAGGTCACTTTCAGGCAGAAAATTTTGAGAAACAGTTTGTGCTTTTTCACACTTTCCTTAATTGTGCCATACCAGTGGGAAAATTTCCAGATCAAGGCCTGTTTCTCCAGCTAGGTCCTGAGGTAAACCTGGCATGGAGCAGAGCCACAGCCATTCTGTAAAAGATGGATATTTACAGAGTAAACCTTTGTTATCATTTGATGTTGCACCATAGCCTACCCTGTCCCTACTAACGCAGCTCCTTAAATTTAGGGACTGCAACATAACTCATTCAATTATGTGTTTTTCCCCTAAAATAGGATAGCAGGCACTCAAAATCTTGAACGAATGAATAAACGTCTATTATAGGAAATTATTAATGAGTGGCAGAATTACCAGGTGGGATACAACTTCAAAAGTTTAGGTGAAATGAATACCATGTCTTACTTAAAAGTTGGAGTTAAACGTTGGGTCTCATAGACATAAAGATGGCATCAACAGACACTGGGGACTAATATGTGTTGGAGGAAGAGAAGGGGAAAAGGACTCAAAAACTAGCTATTGGGTACTATACTCAGTACCTGGGTGACAGAATCATTCAAACCTCAACGTCATGGAATATACCCAGGTAACTAACCTATACATGTACTCCTGGAATCTAAAATAAAAGTTTAAAAGAAAGCTTAGGTGAAATATATTAAAAACTTTAATCAGGGCAACAGTATTGGAAATAGAAACAAGTTATAAGGGGATAGGAAATTTGACAGTTATTACAGCCAACACATTATTTTATTGTTTAAGCTACTTTATGTTGGGTTATCTGTTTCTTGTAGGCAAAGACATTCTAATTGACAAGAAAATCATGGGTCTTATATAGAGAGGATAACAAGTGCTGGGTAACTTGGCTATGAAGAAGGCTAGGCTCACTGGTAAGGGTCTTAAGATGTCTATCACGCTGCTTCGAAGATATTTGTTGATGTTGCAATCTGATGTTCTGCAAGGCTCTATGAGCAGTGTGGCCAAAGTTGGTGGTATCTGTCTATGCCATAGGAGAACTGATTAGGAGACCTATGAACTAACTAACATCAAACCCCAAAGCTGAGTTTGTCTACTCACGGTAGTGGTGGTCATTCTACCAGTCATCAGTGGTGACCCATAATGACATATCCAATAATGGCATTGCTGTAGTTTCTAGTGTATCTGCTCACTTGACCTTTGTAGTACTTTCTTGCATCTTCTATAATGCACAGAGATCCAAGCCACTCTCCATGGTTTCAGCATACCAGAAGATGTACAGTGCTAGAGAATGCAGGGATTTTAAAAAAAATCAGTAATCAAACTATATTTGTGGAAATTTTGTGCATAGGTACCAAAGATGGCTGACTTCTGACCACATTCTATTTAACTCAACTGAATTACACCAAGCTCTCATCCTAAAACTTATAGTTACATCCACCCTTCTGAAATATTTAATTACTCCCCAATACACAGGAGGTAATAGGTATAAAAGGAATGTGCATGTGCAACTTAGCATCTCATATCTAATTTTGTGTCCAAAGTTCATTCTTCTCCTGAATGGCCCGTGTGTACCAGGTGCAGGATTATCCGGATGGCTCAGTTCAAAACAATTTCAGGGAATAAGTTGTGTAGGGAATACAATTTTCTGAAAGAGAAACATGATGTGAACAACTCCTTTTTTAGAAAATAATTTCTGTGACAGAAAGCCTTTCAGTTCATGAAGAAAACTCATAAATCAACAAGCCTAGCTCCTCACCAGCTCCAATGAATTCTTGCATCAATCAGCTCTACAATATCCAATAAAGGACTTTCCAATTGTCCTTTGAATACATTAAGGTATTGGAAATATCTAAGAAAACTACTTTTAATTGTTCCTAATCTTCAGGGAGTTCTTCCTTATATTGCGCTGGTATCTACCTTCCTCACCTTTCGACTAATTATTCAAATCTCTCAAGTGATTATAATTAATTTCATCATATAGGGATTTTTTTTTTCTCAGCTTCCAGGTTCTTGAAGATACCCTGATATTTTCTCTTATATTCCAATGGAAATGTAAATGGGTAAAGTTGGAGTCTGTCGGGTGAGGAGGATGGTGGAAGGGTAGGGGAAAGCTAATGAGAAATAACAAAAGCAAAAAAAAAGGAATTTTATTTTCTTCAAGTTCTTTATACATCCAAAGTGGAAGATCACCACAATAAATTTTCCATATCAAATTTTAAAAATTAAGTTAGCAAGCTTGCTTTTTAATTTCTTTAGAGGCCAACTACTTTTAATTATTATTTCTTTCCAGAGTAGGATTATCACTAATTGTCATTATAATACCAAACTATGTTAATGAATGCCTATTTTTTTTAAAGGGTAATTGCAATCATGAAACCAAATATCTAATTAGTTTTAGAGCTTTGGAGCAGACGTATTGATATTTGAATCATTCAGGTGTATATTTGCTTATCTGCTTTTTTTCTCTTCAAAATAAGTATTGTATGTGTTCTGTTTGTAATTTCTAAATGGTCATTTCAAAACTGATTATACTACTTTACACAAATCCTAGTGAAATTTGTTGCTTAAAAAAATCTTCATTTACCTATAAACTCTCATTGTCCTTGAGCGATATATATTTTATGGCAATTTTTACTCCATACTTTATATGCTAGTTATTTTTGACAGTGACTACTAAAATGCAAGTTTCTTCAAGGGCAGATTCATCTTAGTTCTTCATACTCCTCAAAAAATCAGGGTTTTTCTCAATGAGTATTGAGTTGATGAGTGGAATTTGAGTGTATAACTTCTTGAAATTATATTTCTGGAGCTGGACAATTTTTTAAAAATACATATCATGAGTCTAAAAAAATAAGTTACCATGGCTGAACAAATATTTTGTGAAAAGCAAAACTCCCATGGAATCATGAACTTATCTATGGGACACAGGTTAGCCTTGGGGTTGCTCTGGTCTTCTTTTTTTACCTCCTTCTCACGACCAAATCAGCTCAATAGTCAGCAGTTCTATCCTTCCTCTTCTTCCATCCAAGAAGCTAGAGCTGAACTGCTTCACTGCTTGGCCACTGATTGCTGACATGCTGAGTTTTCCACAGGTGGAGTTTTCAAGAGGGCTTTGATTTTGCTTTTCCCAGTTTGCCTTCCCGCACACTTGAAAAGTGGTAAGGGTATCAGCATTCTCTCTGTCTCTGTCTCTGCCTCTGTCTCTCTGTCTCTCTCTTTGTGTCTCTGTCTCTGTCTCTCTCTCTCTATTTTTCTCTCTTTCTCTCTCTCTCTCTCTCTCTCTCTCTCTCTCTCTCTCACACACACACACACACACACACACACACACACACACACATTCTTTTTTCTTCCACTCTGCTGCACAGCAGGAGACCTTGCCTTAATCTTGGAAAGTCTACAGCAAGTGGTCTAGGCTGACTCACTGCTAGGCAAATGGAGCAAAAATTCTTCTCTGCTTCTTTGTCTCCATGTCTTCCGGAGCTGGCAGATACAGCTTTTGTTCTATAGGAGTGACTCTCTAATGTCAGCTCAGCAGGATGATGGTCGCTCTTCTATATTCTTTAGGTATGAGTCCTACTGAATTTCAGCACAGTTTACCAGACTTTGTCAGTGGCTTTGGAGCAGCAAGGACTTAATTTTTAATAAAGTGTTATTTTGTTTAACTGGTCATTGTCATCTTCATTTACCTCTTTCCAGAAACTTGTGAGAGGTATTTTCTAGAAAAAGATTTTGGCATTCCTGAGTCCTGTGGCTAAAATGTCATGCTCATCTCACCTTCCCTTAATATTAGAGTATGTGGTTACATATAAAATACAAATATGCTGATAGTTTCCAATTGAATATTCTATCTTATTTAACTTAAATCAAAACCTACTATAAACCATCAAAACAATATATTGAATAAGTCTCATAGATTCCAGTCATCTGAATTCTCAATCTATTGCCAATATCATCTTAGAGAGGTTAAAGATTCCCTATGCATATTGCATTACACAAAAAACTAACAATATAGCAATTCCTCGTTGCCAAAATAAAGAATTAAAATAATGAACTAATATAAATGTATCTTTACTGTCACACAGAGCTATAAAATGCAAACAACTGAATATTGGTCTGTATTATTCAGAGTAATTATAGTTTCTTTTTTTTTTTTTTTTTGGCTTTCTAAAATAAAATCAAAGACACAGCAAGTGACCACTGAGTAAAAGATCTAAGATGGCTTTCAAATGAATTTGTATTAAGTATCCACAGAGTATATTGTCCATCGTATTTTAGAAGTAAAACCTATTATGATGAATTATTTTTAAATGTTATTGACTTCTTTTTGCAAGCAGACAACTGTTCAATGATTACATGTATTTTCTCTGCTTTTAAAATCATTATCCACCCATAACACATTTTAAGAAATCTTGATGTCTTTTTCTTTCAGTAAATTACCATGCATAAACAGAAAATAACTCACTGGTGAAAGAACACAAATGTGTACAGAGAAAATTAATTTTATTATGTTATTGTTCTAATATTCAAAACTTTGGGGGATAGTATCTGCACATCTCTGCCCACATTCTGCCATATTTAACTCTCCCCAGCTCTTGCATCTACACAAAAGACATTACATAATATAGCTCTGATTTAAAAGCTGTAGCAGCAGGCGAGCCGTTAGCTATGAATCAGATACTTTATTTTTTATGGATATCTACATTTTGATAGATAAATATTTTCCAAGGGCAACTAACATTTCTTTAGCACCTACAATATTCAAGACACTGGGTTAACCTTTTTAGATCCTGAGCTATTCTATATGTAACTTCTCTCCCTACTTAAAAAAAATTCTAACGGTAAATAAAGCTTTAGGATGGGTGGATCCTCATGTTGTCCCTCTGGTATACAAAGTTTTCTCCTATAAATCATTTTGCACTTTGACCCTAAAATCCACCTGGGAGCAGATATTCTTCTTCCTTGAATTTTGGCTGGCACACAACAGAAAAGACAGAGAAGGAGGTAGGTTTGGCAGAAGTATGACAGTACGTAGCTAGCCAGGTATGAGTGGGCCAGGAGAGGCCTCCCTCCGCCTCACCAGGAATGTCAGGCAACCATCAGCAGATGGTTAGGTGGCAGGCGATTGTCACACTGCCTCTCTAAAATAATAATTGGCTGTAGCCAGTGCCAGGGCAAGGCAGTTTCCCAACAGATAAAAATGCCTGTTACTAGTGATCAGCAGCTTCCCAATAAGATCTCAGGAAATGGATGAGTGGGCTTAAGCATGTGCATTAAGAGGCAACACGGTGGTGGTATTTAACTAGTATATGACCTTTTGGGGGCATTTCACTGGCAGAGGGAAGAACACCTTAGGGGAGTATGTGTACAGCTCCAGTAAACACATTGCTCATGCTCACCTCTCAAGTACTAGCAAGCTGCCATGCGTGCAAGCAGCTTATGGTATGGGAAGAATAAAAGGAATTGGGATGTAAGTCGCTGGAAGTATGCCAGCATATAAAACCCCAAGTCAAAAGCTCAAATTCTGCTCTTGACCACCAAGATGCCCACTTGGCCTTCTTTCAAGTATACTTTAGTTTCTTTTTATTCCTGTTCTTTAGCTTTTTAATAAACCCGCTCCTGCTCTAAAACGTGCCTCCATCTCTTCTTCTGCCTTATGCCCCTCAGTTGAATTCTTTCTTCTGAGGAGGCAAGAACTGTGGTTGCTGAAAACCCGTATGGATTCACCACAGGTAAGAGAAACACAGCTGGGCATATACTAGGTGTGATGGTTAATTTTATGTATCATCTTGGTAGGGTAACTATACCCAGAAATTTGATCAAACATTATTCTGAATGTTTCTGTGAGGATGTTTTCTGGATGAAGGTTATGTTTAAATTGGTGAGCCCTGAGTAAAACAGATTGCTCTATGTAATGTAGGTAAGCCTCATCCAATCAGTTAAAGGCCTGAAGGAATAAGACTTCCCCTGCACCCTCTTCCTTCTATATGAATAAACTTTTCTTAGAAGCTGGCCTTTGGACTGGAACTGCAACATTGACTCTTCCCTGGGTCTCCTCTGTTGACTGATGCTATAGATTTTGGATTTGCTAGCCTCTATAACCACCTGAGCCAATTCATTAAAAACTTGTCTCTCTCACTCTCTCTTCTCTCTTCCCTGTTGTTTCTGTTTCTCTGGGGAAAACTGACTAATACATCAGGTAGCCAGCCTAAGAGAGGCGTCTTTTGTTTGCTTCTAACATTCTCTAAGAAAGTAGTCATCATTAATGTTTTACCCTCATTTCTGTGTAGTTGGAGATTCCACTTTCAACATAGCCTGATATTTTCCTCTTCTGTGGCTCACTTATACTCCATGTCTGCGTCCAACAGCTTTTGACTTTTGACACTAGAAAGAAAGATTTTGGAATTTAGAAAAGTCTTTTCTCTCTCAAGAGCCTTGCCCTTGCCATTGAAAGTCTACCTTTCAAATTCTTTTTGCTAAACACCTTTTAAAATCTATTTTGAAAATCAAAGGTGGACAATGACTTTTTTGCCCTTGGTTTTTTCTCTATCACACTCTAAGGCAATGGATGCTTCAGCACCGACACTTAGAAAGCAAAGGCGAAAAAACCGAAATCCATCAGCTACTATTTGTAAATATTTTTACTCTGCAAGAGAGGGGCATAAAATGCAATTCTCAGCCCTGGCTTCATATTAGAATCATCTGAGTAGCTTTTAAAAGTATCAATGCACTACCCACACTCCAGAGATTCTGATTTAATTGGTCTAGAGTGAGGCTCAAGTGTTACTATTTTGCTAAGCCTTTCAGGTGATTTTTTGGGGGCGGTGGGGGAGGGGGGAGACGAGTCTCGCTCTGTCACGTAGGCTAGAGTACAGTGGTGTGATCTCGGCTGACTGCAACCTCTGCCTCCCAGATTCAAGCAATTCTTCTGCTTCAGCCACCTAAGTAGCTGAGACTACAGGTGTGCACCACCATGCCTGGCTAATATTTGTATTTTTTAGAGACGGGTTTGACCATATTAGCCAGGCTGGTCTTGAACTCCTGACCTCGTGATCTTCCTGCCTCAGCCTCCTAAAGTGCTGGGATTACAGGCGTGAGCCACCGTGCGGACCCCTTCAGGTGATTCTAATGTGCAACCAGTTGAGGGAACCACTGATGTAGAGGAAAAGACACTGGGCAGGGCTCTAGTGCCTGGTGTTGCCATGAAGTAGCAGGGAGAGCCAGAGGCATTGACTTCACCCATCTGTATTCAGTTTGCTCATATAGAAAACGTAAAGTTTGGGTTCAAGGTTTTTCAATAAGCTTTGTAACATTAACATTCTGTAAATCAATCATTGTGACAATTAAAAGAGTGACTTTGTTCAGTGACTGATTCGAATATCAAAAAAAGAATTAGTCTAGACACACAAATAAGATTTCTACTTTGCTCTAAAGAAATACATGGTGATTAAACCCAGTGTTCCTTTTAATGTGATGGTCGTTCCCTGTCTCAGACTGTTGGACTGTTTAGGCACCAATTTAGAACCACTGCCATGTGTACTTCCACATCCTTAGCTGCTCAGCTATCCTCAGTGAGATGAGCCCCAAGTATTTTCTATGTGAAAATATGTGTCTCTAAAAAGAGTGGAAAAATTGGCCAGCTCTCACTAGTAGAGCATTTTGCAAAATGTGGACTGTGTACAGGGAATTTCAAGTAGTGCATTAAATAACACTGAATCAAGTGAGTAGAACTTTCTCCATTTTAATTGATTTCCTTTGGTTAGTCAAGAATAGTCTTTAGTGCTGAGATATCTTCATTACATTGTTAAAACAAATGTATTTTAAGAGAGTAAATTTCAGACTAAAAGACTCAAGCAGGCAATGGTATTTAGCTAATATTTAAAAGTAAT